TCATACCTGCTGCCCCCCACTGCCCCGTGCTGCATGGGGGGCTCTGCCATGAGCCCTCAGAGGCCCTGATTGCTGTGGCCAGAGCAGGTGAGTGCGGAGCTGCTGCTGCTGTTTTTTTTTTTTTTAAAGTGCTGGGAGGCTGGGGCTGGCCAGGGCAGCAATGGAGGATGCTTCTGCCAAGGCTGGGTGGTGGTGGGCTGTTCCAGTATCTTGTTAATGTGGGGAGCACTAATTGGGTGGGTACTCTGAGAGCATTGACTTTATCAGGAGTCAGAAGTTGAACCAGATGACTGACCGTATTCGAAGTAAAGAATTGAACAAAGATAGTAGAAACCTTTATTTGCACACCAGAAATTAAACAAAATTAAATAAACCACATCTTTTATAAGATAACGATGTGCAATTACTACATAACAGTATTTTTTTTTTTTTACTACTGTAACAGTGTATGAGCTGTGAAAAAAATCAATTTCTAAGTAAAAAAAAAACTTGGCTTTAAGTTGGATTTTCAGAGCTTGACTGAGAACTTTTGGATGACAAAACGCGGATCCGTACGACCCTGTGCTGATCCCTGTCAGGGGTAGGAGCAGGACTGATGACCAGCAAGCATAGAATTGTTTCCAGGAGCTCGGTCATTATTTGCCGGTCCTGCCAGGTCCTGGAATGCCTCCTGGACTCATTGTGGTTCCTTTCATGCATCGGTGGCAGCCTGCCTTGGTAGCTTGCATGTCATTGCAAGTGGAGCTGAAAATCAGGAAATGTGGGAAGTAGAGTGAAATAAAGACTCTCGGTGCTTGAAAAAGATGCACTCAGTGAATCTTGCGAGTGGATAAGAAGCTGTTGGCCCAAAATGAGTGAGAAGGTGTACCTGGCCATGGATGGTAGCAGGCCCTGATTGGCTGCAAACAAGTGTCTGCCCCCTGTGGCCACACCTCCCTGCTGTGGCTTGTCCTGTAGCTCCATACACTTCCCACTAACTCCTGGGGTCTTTAAAGTACTATCTTATAGCCTTTGCGACTGTTGCAAGTTTTGGCACCAGGCACAGTCAAGCCACGGAGGGGGGGTCTGTCTGCACCTTTGGCAACTAACTTTTTGTATCTTATAGGCGTGCTTGTTCTGGATGTGTTTTAGCCTTGCTAGGTCCTTTAGCCCTGTGTAGGCCGTGGCACAGTAGCAAGCTGCCCCGTGACCCATGTGTCAAGACACCACTCCAAGTGGCACATGGTTCCTGTAACCACTCCTTCTCTAAAAACTTGGTGTTTTTGGTTTTTTGGGAATTACCCCTGAAATCTGTCAAGTGCTCAGTGGAAAAAAGGTAGGCACTGAGCAGAAGACTGAATGAATGAACCCTGAACCCCAAGGGTGGCCAGTCACCCCTCCCAGCCGAAAGCATCTTCCACGTCAAAACCACACCAGCGCCCCCACAGTAGACCCCCCACTACCAACAGATGCCTTCACCCAAGGGAACTTTAGGGACCATTTAAACTCCTATTAGATGTTCAGATGCTCAGAGAAGAACCCACACAACTTGGCCACCAGCCCTCACCTGCTCTATTGCAATTTTTGGTGCCAGTTAGTGGCGTGTTTGCCCAACAGGGTCAGACTTCTTTACACCAGGCATGGCACAGCAGCCATGGGGGAAGCCACTGTCTCTGCACTCCATAAAATCCCTGTCCATGCACAACAGAAGGATATACAGTGACCCACGTGTCAAGACATTGCTCCCGGGGGTCCCTGGTTGACTGACTAACTACCTGCCTGCCTGGGAGCCCACCTGCCTCTTCCCTTGTGTGGGGCAGGCACAAGCCTTGGGTCTGGCTTGTGCTTCAAACTTTAGTCACCAGGGATAATGAGGAAGAGTGTCTACTCTCCTGGAACTGTAGGTCAGCTTTGGAGGAGGGAAGAGGGGGGCTGCACACCAAAAAACCCAATGTTATGATGCCTGCAGGCTAGTATCCACCATCCGGAGACCAGGCGCCTGCTTACTTCTTTAAATACAATTAAAACCATGCTCAGCAGCCAACGTAAAGTGGGCAATCAGTTATTAACCCCGAACCCTGAACTAAGGGAACAGGATACAACTTTCACTGGCACAGGTCATTTTTAATCCATTGACCGGGTTTGCAACACCACTCACAGTATTAACCCCAAGTTAGGTGACCAACATTCAACAGCATGTTTGATTGTGTGGTATTTCTATAATAGTGCTGAGGGGGTCAGGGTACACCACGCACAGCATTATCCCTGATAATGGAGAAGGGAGCACATAAAGCAGACACTGATCAATCAACAAGAGCCTGTGATCACCCTCATCTGCAAGCCCCCAGTTCACCCTGGGGCCCTTTGGACACCCACCACACCAAGTGAAATAGGAGATGACAACAACAGATCAATGTATTTGAATTCTGTATTTAATAAAATAATAATAAGGGATCAGCAGAGGATTGATTCATATCAGACACTGCAGCTATACCTGGTGTCTTAAAACATTCTTTACACACAAAAACCTGCAAATAATAGTGACACTTGGTGGACAAGGGGGCTCTCTACACAAAAAGTGTTGCTACACCTGATGGACAAAAAGGGCATACTACATGTCATTCAGTGATTTGCCATGTACACGTGACAAATTAATGATGGCACTCTTCCAAGTTGCGTTGTTGCGAACTAAGCTACAGCAGGATGGGGATTAGTTTGTAACAATGCAAACTCATTTAAATTGCTAGGAACTTGGATACATGGAAAGTGTGATGCCATTAATCCACACAGGGAAATTTTCATCGTGTACATTGTCTGGGCATCCCGTGCACAAGCAGCCACTGTGAGTAGCATTTTTATTTTGCAAGTAGATTCATTGGTTGCCATGGAACAATAAACACTACTCAATGTGATTTGAAGATGTATCCCAGTTTCTGCCAGCTTTATTAGTGGTGAACAGTACTGAATTCTGCATGCAGTCTTTTTTATTTTTTGCAGAAATGCAGAATATAGCCCACAGGTTTTTATTTGGTCTAAGGCGCTGGGAATGATATCTTATGTACATTACTGCCTGAACTCTGTGTGATGCCATTAAGAATGGAGCAGTGTGTTGTTCAGGAGGACTGGTCCAATGAACACAAGAATTTTAATTTATCTTGGGGCAGGTGCATATCCAGGCCAGTTAGTAATGGCAAAACTCATTGTTATTTCCTGGGTATTTTATACTTCATGCCAAGCGAACAGTCAGTTCAGCTTATTTGCACCTAAGCAGGCAACCACATCACAGGCACTAAACAACCCATTTACTAGGTCTCTTGCGGAGGATAACAACCAGAATTTGTGGAGCTGATTTTTTTTCTTTCTCTGCTAGAGGGGACGCATTCCAAGGTTGAAAGGTAGATTGGTGTGAAGGAGGCTATGGACAGGTCTCCACTTTTGTTTTACTCACCTGTACATAAGGTATTCTGGTATCCATGTTGATTAGCAATTTAACACCATTAGCAGTGAATAAATTCCTGAAAGAGAATGACAACAGAAGAATAAAACACCCTTGAGCCAAGTCCATAGCTGACATAGGTCGGGGCAGCTCTTTTGGTCCAGATCTGGCACATAACATTTCTGTTGCATTAGCATTTAGCAGTGATTATCTTTATTGTACATTGTGCCCCACCCTCAGTAATAGTGGTACATGTATGTGATTGCAACTATTGTATAATAAAGCTTCTTTCCCTCAGACTTTGCACCTTGTGTTGAAGATGTTAACCAGGACTGGGAAAATCATTTATGGTTTGTGAGAAGTCTTCAAAGATTCACCCCAAATTTGTCACCTCCACTCTTGAAAACTGCTGTGATGTTGAGCAGATGCCTGAATTTTTCTGGAGTACTCCAATTTATACTGCCTAAACCAGGCCTCCATTGTGCAATGTTTCAGTTCAGATTAAGGTTTTTTTTTAAACTTTTTTTTTAATGAGAAAAAGTCATGAAGGTTGATGAATGGCTTTTCCAACATCCTAAAAATATCACACTATGCATATGGTTGAATTTATCATGTATCTTGCACACAGAGAGGCAATGCTTGATAAGCAATTTTATTGGGTAATTACATTTTTTTATATTCACAAATAAAACAGATTGATTACCATCTTGAAGTAATTTACTAACACATTATAAACTCGTCAAATGCTTACATGGTACAGTATGCCTTGTTTCCTGTTTACCAAATAATCCTTTAGCTGTCTGTTTTGTATCTTTCAGGTTAAACCTGGAATTATTCTCTGCCAGAGATGTCATGGAGCCTTGTGTCAGAGTCCTTCACTTAAAAGAAAAAATTGTTTCATTGGCTCAGCTCCTTGCTAACACCAGCCATGGTGGATTCCCAGTGGTTTACAAATCTGAGCCAGACCAAGCAGAGGTGTTCCTGGGAACGATTACAAGGTAAAACATTATCAGATGAGTATTTGATATTATGTGGCCTTTTTTGGACAACATTCAAATTTTCGTTTAACACACTGTGCTTATGAAGTTTATATGATGTGAAGACAGAACTAGTTTATGCTTTCATTGTGGTCAATGGCAAATATCCTTTTGATTTGTTGGGTTGGGACCATAGAGCATATCATATCATATCATATCATATGTTGCTTAACAACTCCTAAGAATTGTTGCTTTGTGGATCATTGAAAACAAGGGGGAATGACCCCAAATCCTTGGTGACTCACTTGAATTCTAATGCCAAAAGAATGAGATCAAACTCATAAAAATATAGTAAGTCAAGAGAAAATTAGCCTGCTCAGCAATCACAATCATTTGCCTTTATTTATGCTTTTACTGGAATTAGTCTATTAAGATAAAATGTTTCACAATCAGGATGAAACAACAAAGGCTGAAGCACAAGCACTGGATTATAGCAAACAGGAATTAAGCTAAGCAAGTGCTGACCTGTGAGGACTATCAAAGGGTAAAGAACATCTCCCAATAAGGAAATTATTGCTGGAACTCCTTTTTGTTATACTGCAAGAGTGACTCCAGCATTGCAGAAGTGATTCTGAAGACTCCTTTCCATTCTTCGGGAAGAAGAAAAAGCAGCTTAATTACAACTTTGTATATTCTAGAGCAGTTGTTCTCAACCTGTGGTCCGCTGAGCCCTGGGGGTCTGCAGACCATACAAGGGGTCCCCAAAAATGGCTATGATCAATCAAAAGTATGTGACTACTCACACTTACAATTCGAAAGGGTCTGTACCTCCATTCAGAATTTCCAATGGGGTCTATCCCTCCATTCAATTTTTTTTTAGGGGTCCACAAATGGAAAAAAAGGTTGAAAACCACTGACCTAGAGGAAAGTTGAAGGAAAAAAGGAAAATAAATGAAAACAAGTATAAAAATGATTGCCAATAGGATTTAACTGATTAACGGCCAATAAAATATTAATCCATAAATTTTGTCATAACATAAAAACACAGCATCTAAGTTTAATAATATTAGTTTTTTTTCATTTACATAGTATCTTTCATTTCCGTGGTCTCTAGGACTCTTCAGTTTTTAAAAACTTTCAATAGAGAAGCGTCTCATCATTTGCTGTTGGAATGTAACCACCTCTGGGGTGGAAGACCAAAGCTGTCAAACAGCAACCCAAGGATATAAACAATACGGTGTCCAGCTGAATCTGTAGAATTAAGTCAGAGGAGAGTTAGCTGAAATTTGGCTAGGAATCATGTCTCTATTCTTATAAAAAGTGCTGGAAAATTTTTTTTATGAACCACTTGCAGTCAGGTTACATTACCTTACCTGATGGCTTTGGGTTAGGTAAAGCTTAGCTGAACATTTTGTGAATATTTGATTAAGTAAAACCTGTGATTGTGCTTCACTGACAGGAAAACCTTTCTGTGGGATTCCCACAGAGAAGGAAATAGCTGCTTTGAATGGGAGAATCTGCTGTTAGGGATTGCTTGGCATGCAGTTTTCCAAGACTACAGGCGCCAATAAATGCAATGCCACATAGGTATTACTGCCTGGCTTGTTGTTGCTATCATTAATGTTATTAATAAGGGATGTGCTGAAGCATTGGAACACAAATCTTATGGTTGACAGACTGTAGCCTGCACCAGTTTGAAGATGTTATATAATATAAACTGAACCATTCATTTTTCCCCCAGCTGTCCACTGCAATAAAATTGGAGCTCATGCTAACAACTGATCCAGCCAAAGTGCTTTTTAAATTTAATTTACAGTCTTATTGTTTCTCTTGTTAACTCATCATGTTACCTTGTGGTGAGAGTTGTAGGCTGTTGATTACATTCCAAGTTTGTGTAAATATTTAATTCTTGATGCAACACAGTAGGGACGCGAGGCAGTGAAGCTGCAGGGTGGTGGGCGGGGGGCGGGGGTGTGGGTGGAATCACCCTTATGTCCCAATTTTGTTGAGGTTGAAGAAGAAATAGTAAAGAATCTTTTGGCTGCTTGAATGTTTGTCACTCTCCAGAGATTGGCCAAGAGACCTGCTGGGTGCCAGTGTTTTCTGAGAACCCCTTGGCATCGCTCCTCTGCCCAGTGTCAGTTACTCTTAAGGGTTTCACAGAGCGGCTTGTGCTTCTTTGTTGGAGTGAAAGTTGTGGAAAACTGTGCTGTGTTTCTGTGATCGCTCTCACCCTCATGAATGGAAGTCTTTGTAGTCATTGTCTGAATGTAGCTCTTAAAATGTTGAAGTGTCTCGTTAATGATCACAAATAGGATTTGGCTTTACTCTCTTATTCAAAAGAGGGCATCTCTAGCAACACAGTGCCTTGTAAGACGCAGAAATGGGTTAGAACTGCTTTAGAGGGCAGGGCTTTATTAATTTGTTTTCAGTCATCAATTTCTGCAGTCCCACAGGCAAGTATCGTTATTTGCCTGATCTTGTGTATGGTGAGAGAGTTGGGCCCTCTCAGAGGTCGAGAGAGGCCTGGGCCACTTCCA